GGGGTCTACAAAACGAAAAAGAAGGGGGGACGTGGGTAGGAGGTGATGCTGAGTGATTGTTTATGGTGATAACCACCTCTCACCTGTCGCCATGACGATGTTCGTTCGTTGATGCTCCCACGCTTTGCCACAATAGACTCCCCCGCTTCATAAAGCTGTAAACCACTGTCGGTGACACTTTGTGGGAAAAAGATTAACCATTAGTCTTCTGCTTGATGTACGTGTGCAGTTTGCTCGATGTGAAAGCTCTTTTTTTGTATGGAAAGGGCGAATACAAAAGCAAACATAGCAAACATGTTGCATAACGTGTGAAATGTTAACGGTACGCGAGTCTTCATGGGCCACCGACCGTGAACACATGCTCAAAGCTCTGCCTGCATCCTAATAGGCAATGCAGAATCTGGCGTCTAGTAGCCTATTAGTATTGAACAATGATAACACAGTAGCTAGCACATGTGGGAGCTGATATTCTTTGCAATGCCAAAACTGAGAAAAATGGCACACTGGTATGGGGGAAGGATGACGGAATCTGCTCTGTGCCAAATGTTTCATTTGTTTCGTTTTTATATTATAAACGCTTTTTCCAGTTTTCACCATTGCTATAATTCGTTCCTTTGACCGAGAACACGTTTGAAGCAAGATTTGTCAATAACAGGTTTCTCGATTGTAGCCAAATTTTGAGTGATCCATAAGCGCACCCTGATCATTATAGAAACACATCTTGGGTACCTTTATTATTTCTTTTTAATACACTAATTTAATGTGAACAGTTCCTATAACCCAAATATTGAGAGGAAATAAAATGTTAACACAACTGCACATGTTATGATAGATGAGAAAATATATAAACGTTTGTGTGGAGAAGTGAGCAGCTATGTTGAAGAAGGAATTTTAAAGCTTCGTGTCCCCCAAAGCAGAAACGAGATGAAACAGTTGGTCTTCTTTTATGTTTTATATAAATGTTTTACGGCGCTCGCAACTGCATAAGGTTCGCGGGGCACACCAAACATTTTACAGTGGGTAGAAAATTTTGAATTTTGCCCAAGTGGCGGCTAAAGCCCACTCTTATCGATTTAGGACCACGAAGAGATGTTTAACGTGGGCAACTTGCACACAGGACCTCCGAGAATTTTCGCCCTTTTCCGTGAAGGCTAGGTGCAGATCTTACTTACCGTATGATCAGATGTGTGGCTGAAAGACAGCAGTAAGAAGGAGCTAAGGAGAAGCAGTAGAAAGTCTGCAAAAAAAGTCATGAGCCCAGAGGTGGGGGCAAAGGAGGTGAGGGGGTTGGGGGGTGGGGGGCAGAAAGTGGAAACGAAGGCACACGACAGAACATTGTTAGAAAGCAGGGAAGGTTGAGAAAGGATAAAATATTAGAAGAAAAGAAAACATTTCGTCGCTATCCGGATTTGAATCACGGTACTATTGAATGAGAGGCGAACACCTTAACCTCTAGGCCACAAGAGCCCCCCCCCCTCCCTCTCACACACACACACACACACAAACAAACACACTGTTCGGTGTGTTCGTTTCCAGCGTGCGTGTCCACCAACAAACTGGCAGTTTGGAAACGACCCGACAAGACTGTTGGTCTACGTATTCGCCTTCTCACTTGTTTACTTGTATGAAGGACCGACATCACTGCACAAAGGGCATCCCCATAAGCGCTCCGTCCCCTGAAGAAGCACATCTCGAAGTGTGCAGATGCTGACGGTTCCAAGCAATGGTTGATTCCATTGCCTTCTGTTCCTCCCACTAAGTCTTGAACTTCTGCAGGCGTCCCATCCGCCTTCTTATTTCCCTGCACTAAACTAGTGGCGCAGCCCTTGTTGTCGTGCTTTTAACCACTCTTGTAAATAAGCTTGTATTAGCATTTAAATAATATTTCTGGTAGTTTGTGTTCAGGATATGCTAATATTTTGAGTCGCATCTTTCATTACCATTTTCATCTGAAATTGAAATTAGAAATCTTTCTTGGCCCAGGCAGAGCCCGTGGCTGATGAGTCACCACACGGCCCGGGTAAAACGCTGCACGCAATATCCCAACACACTTGACTTTTGTAGGGAGATGTCCTGTTCGTTTTGGTAAACACAAGCAAATTGAAATTTCACTCATTTCTAAGGTTAAAAAAACCCGGTGCTCAATTAATTCCACTACCGACTTCCCGAGAGACGAACGATAAACGGTCCGTCGGTTTCTGGTTCGGTGGACACGGGGCCTAATTCTGCGCACGCGCGCCAACGTGTTGTGACGTCCAGGGGGAGATCACTCAGACTAAAGGGCTGAGCAGTTGACCATTAATTTGAAAATATTATTCAAAGCTGTTGGGGCTTGCAGCTGAATTGTTTTAATGTTTGTGACTATGTTATTTGACCAAACAGCTCAGCAAACAGCCTGTAAGATGCATAAACGTTGAACAGCGCTTGTGTGTAGAGATCGCTTTACAGTTACTTACTTACTTACTTACTTACTACCCGTTACGCCATCTGGCGTTTAGGGCAGCAACAAAGGAAGCTCTGTCTGTTTTGGGCCATCTTGGTCAACGTCCCCCTTTACAGTGCAAATCCTAAAATTCTAACATGTGTTGCAATAGTGTGTTCAAACATTTACAAACAAACTATACGTATAACATTTATTTCTGACATCGTCCAGGTGTCTACAAAGCTTAGTATGATCCCGATCGGCAGAAATAAACTTCAGCAACGTGAGTTTTCATAGCCTGACGACAATGGACCGACATTGGGAACATCTGCCGTCAGATCTATAGCGACACATATTTACAAACACAGCAGATACTCCTACAACGCACATTTCCCCAATGGACAAACGCTAATAATATCAGAAACGCAAAATGAAAGGGTGCATGAAAAATTGCCTGTCACTTTTATGCATACATTTTAAGGCCCAATACGATTTCCCCCTTTAATTAACGGGAGCGAGGGAGAGAGAGAGAGAGAGAGAGAGAGAGGGGGGGGGATTT